CTGGGGCCTCGCCTTGCACTGCCTGCTGCCCTGCCCCAGGTTCCACCGGCTTAGTCATCTATTCAGGGGGGCCCAGCCAGCAAGCTCTGGGGGGCTGAGGGGCCCCCTGCGTCTCCCCACTGTAGTTGGGGGCCTGACTTTGGTGGTGACTTCCTTCAGCCCTTGGTCATGGGGAGCCAAGGTCCATGACCCCACTTCTCCGTTTCTCAGCTGGCCACCTTCTGAGGTCATTCTCCACCCTGTACCCCACTCTTTCTGGCCCCCCCCACTGCAGGGAGGAGTCAGCCAGTGAGCTATGGTGAGCTATGGCAGTGGAGACTAGAGCCCCCACTCTAGCTGCCAGGGCCAGGTCTGGGGCTGCAGCCCCCGACGGCTCCCTCTGCCGCCCAGCCAGGTACCCTCCTGCCGCTTGCTTCTACTGGGAGTCTGTGGGGCAAATCCCTCCCGGAGGATGGAGCACAGCCCTTCCCTACCCTGGCCGTGGGGCCAATGCCCCTAGGCCTCCAGGCAGGGACAGCTTATCGGCCAGTGTCCTCCCTGCCTCTCCATGTCCACTCTGCCCTGCCAGCCTTTGGCACCCTCCCCTGCCCCTACCGCTTCTCTAGCGCCTCCTAGGGGACAGGGAGGTCTGCTCTGTGTCAGACAGGCCAGCGTGGCAGGTGGGACTCTTTGGACTAAATTGGGAGGAGCTATGGGCTGGGGACACCTAGGCTGGCTGTCCCCCTGCCTGTCCTCCTGCGTCCTGCCTCCCACCAGGCTCCCCAGAACCCAGGCTGTGTGCACCAACTTGGGGTCTAGTGGAGGGCAGGGCAGGGACCCAGGGGGGAAGCCCAGGAGAAGCTGTCCCCACAGACAGCCCTGCCCTGCCCTCACAGTCAGCTGCCCTGTTCCCCAGGCCCCTCCCTGGCTCCCTGCCCCTCCCCACTTTCTCCCTGGCTCTGTCCATCCATCCATGTGTCTGTCCAGCCAGCCCCCCTCCATCTCTCTGTCCAGTCATCCTCTGCCAGGGTCCAGATGGCCACTCCACAGGCCCAGGGGGCTCACTCGGGTCCCCAGGGAAGCGGCAACCTCCCCACCCCCCACACACACACCAGGGGAGCCTCTGCAGGTAGGGACAGTGATATATGGGACCCCTGCTGCCAGACACCCGGCCCACACAGCTGGCCCTGGATGCAGGCACCTAGTACCCCACAGGCACTGCAGGAGCAGGGGTCCTGAGTCTGGGCCCTGAGCCACCAGGGGACTAATCTTAGGAATGTGCCCCTGGTGTCCCCGCCCAGAATCACCAATCCTAGACAGGGGGTTGGGTGTGACAAGGACCACCTGAGCATGTGCCCTGATGGCCCCTGACCGCCTCTCCAAACATGGTACTGGGGCCGTGATAGATGGCGGGCACTCCAGGTCAGGTCAGCCTGCCAAGCGGCCGTTCCCAGGGCTAAGAATAGCCGCGGGAGGAGGTGGGCAGTAGATGGGCAGTAGCAGCCTGGGTGGTGGTCAGGACCACTGCACAGACAGCAGCGCCCCACAGCCCTCTTGTTCCTCAGCAGGACTCAGAGGCTCTGAGCTGTGATCTCAGGAGACACTGCCCGCTCCTGCCTACTGCACTGGCTCCTGGACCCCCGGGACACTGGGCAGGCCCACAAAGACCTCTTCACTCCAACGTGGCCCCTAGCCAGATGTGGGGGGAGGCTGCCCAGAGAGAGGCATGCCCCCCACCCAGCCACGCTGCCCCCACCTCCTGCTGCTGTTGCTGCTGCTGCTTGTCCACCAGGTGAGCACTGCAGGGGGGCGGGGGAAGGGCCCTGGAAGTCCCCTCCAACACCCTGGGGCACACTGATGCCCTGTCCACCTGGCCCAGCCACAGGCTCCCGCAGCACAGGTGATGGACTTCCTGTTTGAGAAATGGAAACTCTACGGAGATGAGTGTTCCCACAACCTGAGCCTGCTGCCGCCTCCCACGGGTGAGCCCCGCCCCCGTGGAGAACCCCGCCCCCGGGTGAGCCCCGCCCCCTGGTGAGCGCCCCTCCTGAGCCTCTCACCAGGTCAGTCCCCTGGGAGCCCAACATTTCCTTTCACTGGGGGACTTTTGTGGCCTCATGGAACCCTGTGGGGGGACATGACCTCTGAGACAGATGAGGGGGCAGTAAGGTGACCAGATTTTAACATTGGTAAAGCGGGACACCATTGATAAAACTCATATCCTGGCGAAATAGCCACATGGCAGCCTAAAACCTTATACCCTAGCTTGTCATGCATTCTTTCCAAAAATCGGGACTTTTTTAAAATGCCGTGGGACACGGGAAAAATTGTTAAAAATCGGGACTGTCCCATCAAAAGCGGGACGTCTGGTCACCTTAGGGGGCAGCCGCCTCAGAGTGGGCTCTGACCACCCCCCCCACTGTCCACCTGGTCAGCTGCTGGACTGAACATTGCTGAGAGGGAAGGGTGGAGCGCTGGGGTTAGTGCCCTGAGCCTGGTTCCTCTGGGGCAGACGGGGGCTGGGGCAGGTCAGCTGCCCAGGGGCGGCAGGATGGGGGGAGCCATGCGCCTGGGAGGCCAGAGAATGGCCTAGGCCCCCTAGCTAGGGAGATTCTCCAGGACAAGCAGAGTGACAGAGACCCATCTCCCCCCAAGCGGGCTTGGCAGGTTGAGAACTTGTGTCTAGTCTAAGGCCGGAGATGCCCTGGCTGTGGAGGTGGACGGAGGCCTGGTCTGAGCCCATGGTACAGGCCTGGGGAGGTGGCTGCCCCAGGCTGAGGGTGCCCTCTTCCTTGTCACCGCACCCTGCAGAACTGGTCTGCAATCGGACCTTCGACAAATATTCCTGCTGGCCCGACACCCTGCCCAATACCACTGCCAGCATCTCCTGCCCCTGGTACCTGCCCTGGCACCACAAAGGTACCGCGGGGGCCCAGAGGCAGCTGGGCTGGGGTGCCGCCCACCCACATGGGGCTGACCCCAGCCCTGCCCCACTTCCCCAGTGCAGCACCGCCTAGTCTTCAAGAAGTGTGGGCCTGACGGGCAGTGGGTAAGGGGGCCCCAGGGACAACCCTGGCGTGACGCCTCCCAGTGCCAGATGGACATGGATGAGCTAAAGGATCAGGTCAGCCCCACAGGTGCTGGGGGGTGGGGGGCACCAAGGGGACAGTCGGGGGCCTCCTGACAGCCCTGCCCTCTGCAGAAGGAAGTGGTCAAGATGTACAGCAGCTTCCAGATGATGTACACAGTGGGCTACTGCCTGTCGCTGGGTGCCCTTCTTCTTGCTCTGACCATCCTGCTGAGCCTCAGGTATGTGCATGGGGCAAGCATGCTGGGGACGTGGGCAGTGTGTGCCTGGACCCCCAGCCAGCTGCGCAGGGGCAAGCATGCTGGGGGCATGGGCAGCATGCGCCTGACCCCCTGTCCCCACAGCCAGCTGCACTGCACGCGCAACTACATCCACATGAACCTGTTTGCCTCCTTCGTGCTGAAGGCCAGCTCCGTGCTGGCCATGGACGCCCTGCTGCAGACCCGCTACAGCCAGCAGATCGGCGACGACCTCAGCGTGAGCGTCTGGCTCAGCGACAGGGTGAGTGGCGGTGGTTGGGGGAGACAGGGCGCACCAGGCAGGGGGAGCCGGGCTGCCCTCGCTGATGCGGCCCCTCCTAGGCGGTGGCCGGCTGCCGGGTGGCCGCGGTGTTCATGCAGTATGGCGTTGTGGCTAACTACTGCTGGCTGCTGGTGGAGGGCGTGTACCTGCACAGCCTGCTGGGCCTGGCCACCTTTCCCGAGAGGAGCTTCTTCCCCATCTACCTGGGCATCGGCTGGGGTGAGCCAGCGGGCTGTCGGTGGGTGGGCGGGCAGTGGGGGCGGCATCTCGGGGCCAGGCCTGGCACCCAGCGGCTCCCCCGCTTCTGCAGGGGCCCCGATTCTCTTCGTCGTGCCCTGGGCTGTGGTCAAGTGTCTCTTCGAGAACGTGCAGTGAGTGAGAGTGGGCACCGGGCACAGCGGGGGAGTGGCTGCAGAGGCCGGGCTCCCCTGGAGGGGTGCGTTGGGGTCGGCTCCTGTCTCCCTCCTTCTCCAGCTGGCATCAGCTGTGAGGGTACTGTATGCCAGGGTCTGCAGGGAGTGTCCAGGGCCACGGGCACGGGCGTCCTGGGTGGGGTCTGCAGCAGTGTCCTGGCCCTACAGGTGCTGGACCAGCAACGACAACATGGGCTTCTGGTGGATCCTGAGGGTGCCCGTCTTCCTGGCCATCCTGGTGAGGAAATGAAGGCACTGGCACTAGTGGGATAGGCAGATGCAGTGGCAGGGGGGAGGGGGAGGGGGCACTGGGGCTGAAGGCAGGCAGCACCCTGGCCCCTGGCACTCACCCATGCCTCGGGCTGGCGTGGTCAGCCTCAGGCTAGGCTGCCTGGAGGGAGTGGACTGCCATCCTGGGCCAGGCGCCTGGCAGGCCAGCCAGGGTCTGGGGCGGGGACGTGTGAGGGCAGCCAGGCTGAATGCTGCAGGCCACCCGCCCCTCCCCATGTGCCCCCTCCCAGATCAACTCCTTCATCTTCATGCACACCGTCCACCTCCTCGTCGCCAAGCTGCGTGCCCACCAGATGCGGTACACTGACTACAAGTTCAGGTGCGGAGCCGCCCAGGGTGCTTGCGGGGCCACAGAGCCAGGGCGTGGTGGTAGTGGTGCAGGCCTGGGGGTGGGGGGGGTTGCTGCAGGGGCAAGGCAGGACAGGATTGCCCAGGCTGTCTCCCACAGGCTGGCCAAGTCCACACTGACCCTCATCCCCCTGCTGGGTGTCCACGAGGTGGTGTTCGCCTTTGTAACCGACGAGCATGCCCAGGGGACCCTGCGCTCCGCCAAGCTCTTCTTCGACCTCTTCCTCAGCTCCTTCCAGGTGGGCCATGGCCGCCCGGCCCCCACAGACCTGCCCCTTCGCCTCCCCCACAGGGCGCTGTGGGACCCTCCTCCCATGGGGGCTGTCTTTCCCTCCCCTGCAGGGCCTGCTGGTGGCCATCCTCTACTGTTTCCTCAACAAGGAGGTGAGTCGGGGGCGGGGGTGGAGACCAGCGTCTGGGGCCACCACCCCTGGCCATTGGGGTCGGGATCACATAGCAGGGTCACACGTTGCCATGTGATGGGGTGGCCCCCAGAGGGGTTAGGGTCTGTAGTGGGGGGAAGGGAGAAGGGAGAGGGGCTGCCCCCAGGTGTCCCCGAGCCCAATGTCCTGGAGGGTGATGACTGGGTGGTCCCTCATGTCCCACAGGCTATGGCCCTGGGGGGTGCTGGCACAGGGGACAGAGGCAGGCCCTGGGGAGATGCTGGCACAAGGGGAGTTTGGGGGTGCTGACCCCCGACGCCCACCACGCCAGGTGCAGGCGGAGCTGCTGAGGCGCTGGCAGCGCTGGCGAGTGGGCAAGGTCTTGCAGGAAGAGCATCGTTCAGGCAGCCACACTGCCCCCCCAACTGCCCGCGGGCCCCCCAGCGAGAAGCTGCTGCTGCCGAGGAGCAGTGGCAACAACGGAACCAGCCCGGACCCCTCGTCAGAGACCCCGTCAGCCCATGGCCTCCCTGCACTGGCCGAGAGCCCCTTCTGAGTGCCCGGCCCCCCTGGGGTGGACTGCCCTGGGGTGGGTATGGAAGGCATCCCTGCACCCAGGCGGCCCACTGGGAGTAGCTCAGCACCCAGAGATCCCCGTGCAGCCCCTGGGGCTCCTGAACCCGGAGCAGGGTGGGGTGCTCCACCACGTGCGGTGTGCTGAGACCCATGCTATGGACCACCCAGCAATAAAGTGCTCAAGTTGTACAGGGGTGTGTCCAGGGCCCAGGACATCGCGTGGAGGCCGGAGGTCAGGGGTGAGTCAAGGGCCCCTGGTCCCTGGTTTCCTGGTCTTGTGGTTGTCCCCACAGGAGTGGCTGAGTCCAGCAGAGAGCCCCATGGGGTGGCAGCAAAGTGCCCCAAAGCCTTTGGGTGGCACAGGGTGTCCCCTAAGCAGAGACCCCTACCTCCAACTCCTGCAGCTGTCCAGGCCGCTGCTGGGCATGGTGGGCACGAAATGCCTGGTTACCAGGGGCAGGCGCTGCCCAGCCTGTAGAAACACCAGATTGTAGACTGGGTGGGGACCCTGGCGCTTGCTGGGGTCTCGATTGGGATCTGGGGTATCACCCTCTATGGGGTACCTCTTGCCACAGCACCTGCCGCAGTGTCCTGTGGCAGCACTGTCAGAGGGGGGCAGGGGAAGCAGAAGGCACAGGTCACCAGGTGTCTGGGCTCTGCAGAGGGCTGGGGGAGGGGTGCCCCCGCCTGCCCTCCGGGATACGTGGCCAGGGCCACTCAGGCAGAGCCAGGCTAATTGGAGCAAATGAAAGGACAGGCAGCCTCTTGGGAAGGTAAATAGAATTACTCACCACCAGGCGCTGGGCCTCCTGGGGGAGCAAGCCTCCTGCCCCCCACGGGCGGGCGGGCAGGCAGGGAGGGACACTTGGTGGCTGGGCCATCACCCAGGGGCTGGTGGAGACTTTGAACCAGAGGCTGGGCTTTACCCTCTTGAAACCCCGGAGGCCGTGCCTGGAGACCCAATGCCCCTGACCTGGTTTTGCCCACCACGAGTCCTGGCCCCAGGCCCTGCCAGCCTTCTGCCCAGCTGAGAGTGGGCACCAAGAGGCCTCCTCCAAGCCAGCGCCAATGTCCTTCACGCCAGCTGAGCTCAGGGTGGGGATGGCCTCGGGCAAGCCTGCCTACTCACCACTCACCTGGGCCTCCTGACACCCTCCCTGTGGCCAGCCCCCTCTGTCCTTGTCCTCCCTCACCCTGTCCCCAGCTTCCCAAGGGAACCAGCCCAA